AGTGTTTCAAGTAAACAGAGAAGTGTTTTCCAAACACAATGCTACTATATCATAATGTGTATACTTTAACATAATATGTATACTCTATACTTTATTGATTTGAATGAAGTCTGGCATTAAGGTTAATGTCTTAAATGAATCCTTGGCATTTGGAGCAAAAACTACTGATAGGAGGTGGCCTGTCAGGAGTTTTATTTTTCAACGTTTTGTCAAATTTTTTGTTTCATGGTAACAAGGCCATTTCATGCTTTTAAAATAACACCATAAAATGGCAACTTAAAGAAAAACAGAGTGTTTTACAACATACTCATCTCAAGCTTTGCTCACAAATGGGTATGTAGCCTCAAATTGACTGGGCTCTTAGTTTTTTTTTTTTTTTTTTTTTTTAATTGCAGTCAGCAGTATGTCTGCCTGCCTGAGCTTGTCTTGACTGCAGCATTTTTTATTACTCTATTCAGCACTCTCGATTAGTCTTAAAAGTACCATTTCTTTCTTCCAGTGGACTGTTAAACACACGACTTTACAATGCCGCCAACAATTTACTGAAAATATCCTGACAACCTCCTCAAGTGACAAGTCATTCGTCTGCATTTAGTAGAGTACTACCAATGACTGGTAAGAAGCAAACGTAATGCAGCGAGAGAGAGAGAGAGAAATTATGGATAAAAGTACTCTGGACTATCATGTCAGATGGATGTGTGATGAGGAGAACAACTAAACTGCATGCAGAAAGACAGGAGTCAGGGAGGCGATTCAATGAAACATTAGAGATAAAACCCTGAGTCTAAATGTAAACCGAGAGGGAAGGAAACTTACAAGGAAGTATTGAGTATATTAGACATGCTTTCTATGTGCAATCAAGCAAGATTTACATCAAGCTGAGAATCAGTCATCACAAATGTGGTTCTATTTGAGCCATACTAAATCACTATTGTAACACAAGCTGAATACTTGACCTGACCCGGTTACGAGTTTATCGCTTTCGTTTAAATTGTCTGTAAAAGGTACATCAATTCATTTAGAATTTTTTTTGACACCCTACAGACTTAAACTCTGGCAGAGATACTACTTCCTCTATCATTCCACAGATGTTTTATTTGTAAGTGACCAGACAACTTGTGACACCGATTGTCTTCTTAAATTAAGCAATGATTGAAGTTTCCACTGATGGATATTTTGTTTTTTTCTATTTTCTATTATATTATGTATGCAATAGATAATATATTGCATTTTTTTTTCTTTGAAGTGTGAAACAACAAGCAAAATACTTCTTTTTATTTGTGAGCTGTGGCTCAAAGCATAACCACATTGGTAGCACCTGGTATTTCTGAGCAGAGTTCAATTCAATTTAAAAAATACAAGGGTTTTCTTAACTCAGTCAGAGTTAAGTGAAGTTTTATTTTTTTATTTTTTTAAAATCTAAAATGGAAAATCTAATACATTTGAGTAAAACAACTATTTGCTTCTTTACAACTATATTTTAATTATTCTTTCTTAAATTAAACTTAAATGTTTCAGATTATCGGACTAATTTTAATATTAAAGGGATGTACCCTGGGTAAATGCAAAAAGCAGTTTTCAAACAATGATTTTATTCATTATCCAAAAAAATAGCCTCACCCTATGTGAGCAGCACATGAAAAATATATATTAAACTTTACATTAAAACAAGATGTGCAAGACTGTGTTAAAAGTCAGAAATGCAAAGGTGAAATACGAATTTTAACTACTGCCTTGAAATGATCCATGTCAGTTTCTGAATGGATTGACATTTATTGAAAAATGGAATATTGAAACTAAAACGAAAACACTCATTCAAAAAACAATAAAATATAGAACGTCACAACTAGAATGACTTTCTATTTATTTATTTTTTTTACGGATTTAACATGCAGTTGTTTAAGCACCTTTGTAGGAGATTATTAGAAGTATCTTATGTAAGAACAGCATAAATATTATGTTCATAAAAGACAGTACCCAGGTAAAGCAGGACTCATTTTTACTTCCAGATCATATCCCGATCTCGCTTCTGGTCCTGCTCCATAACTGCTTTTGGTGAAAGTCTCAGACAGCTGTTATTTCTGAAACTGTAGCGAGCGTTTACACCGAGAGAGACGTGTGAGATACTTAGCCTCACAACAAATGTAGTATTTATTTGTTTTCACTTTGCTCACACCACCTTCACTGTGCTCATCTCTACTTTCATTTTCCTTCTCTTTGATATCAATTTATTGTCACTGAGAAACTCTCATGGTCCGGTCACTTCAATTGTTGTAAGGAAAGATACGTGGCCACCAAATGGACTTGAGCCCTTCTGGCCTAAATAGAGCATGTCAGCAGATGGAACATGTGGCATGATTCAGTGCTTTACTTCATAGCTCCAAGACCACTTTAATGACCCATCAAGTAAGATAGGAGTAGATAAATGGCATTACGCTCCATAGATGAGAGATAGGGACAGAAGTGATTATGTCTTTATGATATTTAGGAATCTACAGTGGGAGGTCAGGACCATTATGTTTGTCTGCAAAAAAGTGTTTTGACCTTCTTATTAATTCAATTACATGGATGACGGCCTTAAAAAAAAAAAAAAAAAAGACAATGTCAGATTTTATCTGAATATTTCCGTGAGTCAAACATGACATGCTATCCAGCTTTCCCTACAAATATCCTTTAGTTGGAAGTCCAAGGTTAGAAAAATGGAAAAAAAAAATAATTTATCAAAGATGCTGGATTGCCTTTAGGTTTCACACTGCATGACAGTAATGTGCCATTCAATTTAGTTTTCATCATACCAACTATAAATCTGTTAAGTTTAATTGTTATTTTAGTCATTTTTAGTGTCCAATTGATTGAAACATTTAATCAGGCCTTGTGATTAATCACTATGATAAATTGTTTAAGCTTCAAATGAAAAAAAAAAGCATTTATTTAAGTATCTGTAGTGGGAGGTCAGGTCCCACTACAGATTTTCTTAAACATGTTCATGAAACGTTTCCATAAAATGTTTAAGAAAATGTTTTATTGTTTCAAACCAAATAGCTCAGTTTTCCAGGTTTTCATTTCCAAGGTTTAAAAGAAGCCCTTTGAGATTTTAAGATGTAAATAACATTATAAATAAAATATATTAGTATTACTATTAGTATTAATAGTAAGACGATAATTCACTGTTACAATAAATAAGATTTAATATATTGCCTTTGTTGTCCATTGCAATGTTTTTTTTGTTGTTTGTTTTTTTTGTTTTAAATTATTTTTTGGCACTAGTGGGCATTGTTTTACAGTCATGTAGGGAGAAGCTGGTAAAGATATGCTTTGAACTCAGTAACCTCCACAGGAGGGAGACTTTTTAAGATCAAAATAATGTGATTAATCTGAAATAGTAATGCATTCAACGTTTTAGATTAATTGCATACATTAAAACATTAATATTGACAGCACTACACATTTTACAAAACAGAAATGGTAAATGAATTAATGATGCATGCCTGAATGACTTGCATTAGGTTTACCCTAAGTTGATTATTTACTATTTGAGAAGTTAATCAGGAAATAACAATTTTTTTAAGCCAATTTAATTTTACATTCCGAATGCAGTAATATTGTGATGAATTTGTGCTTAGCATAGGTAGCTGTGATGATTTAAATGGAAAAAGAGACCAACCTTTGTTACTACGAAAACCCTAGCTTTAGTCTCATCACACATTCCTAACCTATTAATTTGGCTTTGTACTACATCCCACAGGCAAGAGAAAAAGCAAATGGAGCAGACTGAGGCAAAATCAGAAACAGAGAGAGAGAGAAAAAATGAAAAACAGGATCAAACAGCCTGGCTGGCAATGAACTTGGAACTGGAGAGCTGGAGCACATGGCAACAAAGACATCTTGGCAAAGAGCACTGGCTATGTACTGATAGCAAAATAGAAATGCATTCATAAAAAAAAGAAAAAGTCTCCTTTGTTTGTTCTGAGACTTTTTTTGTTTTTTCTTTTTTTTTTTTCTTACTTCCGTACAACCCTCAAAAATCAAACAGTGGTTAGCTGATCCATGGCCTGGACCAAGCTGTAATTTTCTAATCAGTTAACCAACTTCAAAACGATGCCTCCCACTTATTGTTTAACCGAGAAGCTTTTCAGTGTGCAGACCACACAATATGCAAAGGTTCTCTCAAATAAATGTGATGCTGTGTTCCTATTATCATTCATTTGACATTTGCCTTGCATCACAGAAATATTGCTTGCAGATATGTACAGACAGAGACATATACTGCCATAATCATGTCTGTGCACAGCACAGGGTAGTTTTGTTTCACTCACTGGTATTAATTTTCATCCTGTATCCTGTTGTTTATGCTTTGGAGAGAATTGATTGGTGGACTCTGTGATCTATTAAAAAAACAAAACAAAAAAACGGTCAAGATATGGTTTTAAATGAAATAATCCTTTGAATTATTTTTCTTTTTATTGTGTATTGCTGGCTTTTTGGCTGTTGCATTATTCTTTTGTGAAGCACTTCTTGATTTTTATAAAACTATGCAATTTCAGTCATATTATTACTATGATTTATTGTCAGTTCTATATGTATGGAGTATTTCAAATATATGTTTAGCCTAAAAATAGTTCTATTGATTTAAAGGCTTTTTTAGGCAGGAACAAAAAAAAACCCTGATATTTCAACTGACATCAAGAAAGGACAAGCAATGGCAATTAAAACGATAAGAAAAAAAATATTAAAAGTTAGAAGAAATCTGCACCAGCCTGGAAGAACAATAATTACTGTAGATATTTAAATTTTCTCTAATTACAGGAACATGCTTGCATTTCTTTCTCGTTATTTTTCCTTTTTATGCTATTTACTTCTTTGTCACTTCTATGTAGTAAGTAAGGATGCACGTACTGCAGAGGCTGCAGAGCAAAGAAAAACATGTGGGGAAAAGGGAAAGATCAGATGTAGCAGGTAAGGCAAGAATGAAAGTAGGACAGGGATGGAACAGCATGTCTGGAAGATGTTTCTTGAAGAGACAACAGAAAAAAAATGAGTGACCACATCAATCAGGATAAAGGGTAAAGAGGCTGGGAATCCTATCCGTTTAACAAGGAATACATTGGTATTTTGTGTAAAGTTTTTTTTTTTTTTTTTTTTTAAAGCTGCTATATGTAACTTTTTGGGAAAAAATATGATTTTACATATTTGTAAATACTGTTACCATCTGTGAAAAGCTCCACTGCGTCCTCCCAGAGCTCCTGCTGTCATCTGCAGAAATGCACCGTTCAGTCAGAAGCAACCAATCAGAGCCAGGCAAGGGGTCTCAGCTCTGTCAATCAAGCTCATGTACGCCTGCTCGCACCTTTCCCCTTGCTCTCTGCTCCACTACAGCAAGGTCACACAGCAGAGTCAGTCCTGACTGCTCAGGCTAGTAAACGCGGCCAGTGATGGTGGTAGATCATATTGTCTGCTAATGGCAGACAATATTTGTCTGCCATTAGCACACTGATAACATGAGCAACAGATACACCAGGGGTTTGACAGTGCCAAGACTCTCCTCCTGTCTCTGATTGGTTGTTTCTGACCGGGAACCGTGTACTTATGCATAAGTAGCCCTGGGAGAAGCTTGATTTTTTTTCACTGATTATCTCTCCTATGCACAACATGGTGACAGTTTTAACTTGTATGTAAAAAAAAAAAAAAAAATGTTGTAAAATTACTTACTGGAGTTTTAATGGTAGATTTTTTTGCTTTATTTTACTTCATTTTATTGTTTTGGTATGCCCCTTACAACCAACATCTAATCATTTTTTTTATTTTATTTTTTTTTTCTATTTTGTGTCTCAGCATAGTTTTAGTCAGAAAAGAAAAGAAAAAAACATGCACAGTGTCTGCTAAATGTCTATGCAATCAAACATCCAACTTTTATATCTTAAGTATAGTAACATTAAAGTGAATTATTTTGGAAGAGATTATTTGATGTTAGAAATGTATTGGTCTATCATCAAAAGTAGTGGAGAAGGGCTTAAAGCTCATTAATTGCTTTCTGGCTCTACACTGAACTGGGATTCAGTTGATTTATACAAATAAATATATTTACTGTATAACAAGACAGAAACATATGAAATAAAATCAGTGCAAAACTTTTTGCCGTTTTAATCTCCACCTTAACAAGAGCGGATTAGATGATTGTGCAACAATTTACAGTTATGTGATAAAGTATTTGCCTCCTTACATCTTTCATCTTATGATTTTTACATGCATTGGATAATCACATACATATATCTAAATAAAATGAAAATACTTCACCAGGAAGATAATAAATCATAATTTTATCCATGAAGGTCATAGATCAACATGGCCTTATGTTAAAAAGTAATTGCTCCCCATAAATCTAATAACTGTGAGCTGCTGACCATGAAGAACAGATTTTTAGATTTAAAACGATGCAAATTCAACATAGGTATGCACCATATTCAACTAGGCTAAAAAAGAAAAAAAAAAAACACATTGAATAAAATAGGCAACTGCAACACTGCATGGTCCTGACTGTTGTCCCTTTAATAGAAACTAAAACATATATATAAACTGTATGTCATTCTGATGGACTTCAAATGTAAACCTATGCACCACAATCTGCTGATTAACCCCTTAATTGTCTTGAAGGGTCCCAGAGGGTTAGAGCCCCAGTTAAACGACGTTTAACTGAAGTCCTAAAAGGGGTGCAGGTTTTAATATTTTTATCTTTTTTAATCTTTTCCAAAATCTCTTTCTCACTGTTTATTCAATGTCACATGCTGTTTTTATTTTAATTATGTGAAGCACTTTGAAATGCCTTGCTGCTGAAATGTGCTATACAAATAAAATTGGATTGATTGATTGAAGACACCAGCATCCTCATGTCCTCATTGAATAATAAGTAGGCATTGTTGAGGTGACCAGTAATTTGCATTTAAATTGTATTAAATTGTTATTTATTTAACTATTAGTGAGAAAAAAATTTTCTTACAGTTGGAAAGGGACCACAACACGTTTTTATTTTCTTGTTTCCACTGAAACATGTACAAAACATGGTTTTGAAAATGGCTTCCTCAAACTGTGATGAATTAAAGCACAAACATTTTTAGACTTTCTTCTTTTTTGAAGTATTGCATCATTCAAAGGGAGGCGAAAATATGAAGCACGCAACTTGCTCCTAAATAGCCAGTCATCTTATTTATGACATTTTAAAAAACCCAAAAAGTAATTTTAAACGCGTACAAATTTTAAAGGTTCACATCTCATTACAGTGCATGCCTCAATAATTGCAGCTTGATTACACCATCAAATTTGACTAAACACTACATGCTCAAAGAAAATTCATGAAAATGTAAGAATTTTTTTGCTTTAAGTGGCATTTCTTTGATGCGTAGTCCTCCTGCTACTCTTAAATGATGACGTAAATTATCCTAAAATCATCCACGAGCTGCAACTACAGAAATTACAGCAGAGTTGAGTCACCATCTCTCTGACTTAAAACTGTAAAAAATAATTTGGTTTTAAGCTTCACAAATGCACGTGGCGTACAGATGTATGTGAGATTGATTCTCCTTGCCCTCTAAGCTGTGTGGGATTGGGGACTTGTGCTGATCTACAAGTGAAATTGCAGTGCCAACATACAGCTTTACATATATTTATCCAGATTTGTTATTCCTTAGATTTTTAAACCTGTCAACTGAGTTCGTATTCATTCTCACACTACAAGTTTAGATTGTAAATTGTTAAAAAAAAAAAAATGGATCTAGTTCAGTGACTGTACTTTTCCACAATTACTTATTTTCAAGAAAAAAAACCCCAGGGAATAAAATGCCTCATTTCTTGAGGGAAATGGAAATGGTGTGTGAAACAGAATTAAAAAAAAATACTGGAGGCTTTTTAGTTTTGTTGTTTTCTCATTGATAGTGATGAGGCATAACATTATAACCACATTACAAACATCCCCACTATTAAACGGTCAGTAAATGGCGACTGACTGTGTATCTGCATGTTCAAATTATTTGTTTATTACTATGTATAATCACCAATGAAGACAATGAACATCCCAGAAAGCAGCAATTAGTCATATTTGGCCCAAACATGCTTATGTATTCAAGCTGGTCCGTTTTTCTGCATTCAGCACATCCCCTTTGAGGTCAAAATGTGTCTGCCTATATATAGAGAGCTGTGAAAAAGGTATTTACTCTCTTTTGTATTCACTTTTTTGTCTTAAAAGTTTTAGATGATAAAACAAATTTTAATTGAACAAAAAAAAAAAGCCTGATTGAAAACAAAACCTATAATCAAAACCTATAGGTTTTGATTGAAAACAAAACCTTTTCTCCCCTTTATTTGGGTGCAGAATACTGTCCTTGTGTCAAAAAAATGTTGCTCCCTGAATCCTACACCTGTTTGTGCCTGGTGGCAGCTGCAATTAAGTATTTATTTATTTTTTACATCACTGTGCAATTGTTTTAATTCAGTCACAAAGGAGGGATTTTGAGGATGAGAAGGCAGTTTACTCCATGTCACAGCATCTGAATTGGATTCGATTCCAGACTTTGACCAGACCGTTCAAAAGTTTACTTGATGGTTTGGGGGATTTCTGACATATACCCAGAGTGGGCTTCAATTTAAGTGGAGTAATTTTTAGGTGTACAAAATATGAACGTGATCTGAAATATCTAAGTGTCATAATAAAGTAAAACTAAAGACAATATTTCATGATCTTATCTCCCTAATAGGTGCCACAATAAAGAGATAATCAGTGTTACAATTTGCCTGTCAGTGGTTAGAATACTATCTCTATTTGGTGAAGATCTGGAGTGGTTATGAAGCACTGCTGTTGTTGTTTTCCTAATTTGGCAACTGAGATGGCAACTTGTTTAAAACAAAGAAAAAGTATCCAGGTAAAAATTATGTTTTTAATATCTTGAGTACCAACGTCTTCATATTGTATCGTCTGAATAAAGTCAGTGATTTATCACAACGGTATCACATTTGTAGATGAAACTAGAATAATAAGTATTATATTTTTTTAATTTTTGTTATACATTTTACCAGCTTTAAGTGGAATACATAGTTGGTGGTATTACATTTCTAGGAACGGTACTGATACAAATGTGATTTTTACCACATGCAGACACATGTCAGGATCTACCAGGGCGGCACTTGAGTTCCCGTTGCATTTGACTGTGAACACTTTGATAGTTCTACAGGAGAGCACACAGAAACGGGAATCAAAGTATTGTAAGTTGTTTAAGTCACTGACAGGCTTGCTTTTTAAATCATTTTCTGATGTCATTTATGAGCCACCCAGGAGCATGTTGTCAGAGACCTGAGCCAATTCCACCATTCACCTCATTAATTAGGGATATTCTTCCATCAAAATGTGCCTCTCTTCCATCTGT